CTAGCTTGTGGCACAGAAGCTAGGACCTTCATATGGTGCTATATAGAGGTAATAGTAGGTCTTTTATCTCATTTCTGTTGTCAGGAGCATGTTTATACTGTTTCATCATTAAATACAATGGTTGCTATCAATTATCTTGAAAGTGTTCTTTATCAAATTAGATAGGTTATCTGTGGATTTTAGTTTGCTCAGTTATTATGATTAGAAACCTTAAGAGGCCCTGAAAGGCTGCATTTTCATATGTAACTTGAGAATTCTTATGCCTGTTATACCCCAAGCCCAACTCCATTGTAAACTATCTGAAAAATCAAAGTAAAATCCACAGATGTATAATCCAATGACACTTAGATGTCTTTAAAATATAAAAAAGAAATAAAGTAGTTAATAATAAAATAAGGATCCCTTCTGGCACGACCTTGGCACTCCTGTCTCTCTCATGTACAAAGCTGATTTTAGGGTGAGGGTCGCTCCCTTCAGTGGTGATTTGAGAGGATAATGGCACAGGCTCGCCATGTTGGGTAGGACAACAAGAAGTCCGAACAGAGCTCCATTCTAGGCTGCGGGTGAGAGTCCTGGAGAAGGAAGAGGGAGCATGCTTGGTATAGGAGCTGAGAGCTTGCAGGTGCTGACTAGGACCCAGCACTTACCAGTACTGTGTGGTACTTACCTTCCTGCGCCTAGACTCATCCCCTTGGTCATCTTTAAGGATGGACAGTCATAGCCTCGCTTGGCAGGTGAGGAAACGGGGCAGAGATTGCAGCCAGGATTCAGACCCTGAACTATTTGGCTCCTCGATCATGGAAAGGATACTTCGAGTCCTCTTGTCTCAAAGGCCATCACCACACCAGGTGCTCAATTTAATTCCATTGAGAGAATTAGGAGAGCTTAGTAGTGGACTTCAGACTGTAATTGTCTACAGTTCTCTGTGTATTAGTCAAGCGCATAATGGGATAAATACAGGCTTTGGAATATTGTAAGTGGGAAACATTCCGGGCACTGTACAAGTAATTGTAATTGTACAGGTATTGTATCCATCCGTGCCTTTGTTCACTTTACTCACTGAAGCTTTTTTGTTACTCTGTTGTTCATTTACTTACTTAGTAATACCATTATCTAATCAGGAACCTGAGCTCGTCCTCATTGTGGGTTGTTTCTGTTGGACTGGCATGTTCTGGGTCCTAGACAGTGCCTTTAGAACCTTAGATTGTGATGGCTTTGACACAGTAAGCAGTTGTAAATGCAGTGCACTGTGGATATCATGTGTTGTAGTACAGCAGTAGTCAGTGCTTATTATCGAATTAACAAACGTGTGGGAGACATTGTGTCCTACTCTTTACCCTCAGTGCCATCTGCTCCAGGCTGTTGAGTTTGTAGATCTATTTATGCTTGCCTAATGCAACATGCTATAAAGGTAAGATCCAGAGTCATGAAATAATGATCATGGCTGACATTTGAGTTCTGCTGCCTATAAGCAGTTTTCATCTGAATGTCATTGTATCTGAAATAATGGAATATTTTATTAGCTTAGATGACATAGTCAATTTAGCAGTTCGAGAGAGTAGCCCTAGAATAACTGATGAAGCGATGTGTGTTAAAAAATTAATTGTGCAGATCTTTTGATCTGATTTTAAAGTGATAAAGCAGAGGCTGAGTCCCCAGAACATGGACAGCAGAATTCCTTTTAGTACTACTTACATGTCCAGGCATGGCTGTGTGAAGGAAGCACACTGAAATACTTTCTACCGCACGGCAGTTGAGAACAGAGAGAGGATCAGCACAGTATGACTGAGGCAGTGTTTTGTCTCTTGGCCTGGCTTGGGCCCAGAGTTCAGTTCCTCCCTTTGCTAGCTGGTGACCTGGTTTGCTGACTTCCCTGTTCTTGGTTATTCATCGGGAGTTGGACTTACTAACAGTCCTATCTCATGGACCTTTCCAAAAACTTGAATGGGTTTTGGAAAGTGCTTGGAGTTATAGCATCCCTGAGAACCCTCATCATTGTAGGTTGTTTCTGTTGTTAGTGAATTAAAAGACACTTAAAACTTACTACTGATTAGGGAAGAATACTCATCTCATCACTAGAAGTTAAAGGAATTACAAATAAAATAACTCTATAAGACAATGTCTTACCACACTGCTTTAGTTAAAATGTCTCAGTTATTTCAGAGTACCACCTAATTAATTATGTTAACAGAATTAATCTGAGAAATAGAGCTTTTTTCCCCTTATAATAATTGTGACATCATTCAGTGTCTAAAACTAGAATGGTAAAATTAATGGTGGTAAACAGCGCATTATAATGTACTGTACTCTTGGTCTACTAACTCCTTGAAGGGTTTAAAATTAGGCCTGAAAGGTGGCTCGTTTGCTAAAGGGCTTGCCATGCAGCATGAGAGTCTGAACTCAGTCTTGAGCACCCACATAAAAAGCCCAGCTCCAGAGGCTGTACCTATAGTCTCAGCCCTGGGAGGCTGAGACAGAATCCTTGGGCTTCTCTAGTAGCCAGCTGGTCTAGCCGAGTCAGTGAGCTGCAGGTACACTGAGAGCCTGTCTTTACGTGCATGAAGCAGAGCATGATTGAGGAAGACACGCAGCACTGACTGCTGGCCTCCACACACATGTGCACACTCCCACAGACACAGTCCATGAACATCATAGGCTGCTAGACAAATGACTGCTCTACTTCTTGTCTGAATATCAGATCCCGTGCCTTTGGTAATAAAAAGATACATTCCTTTAGCTTGTTTTTATTGATATTTTGTTTTAACACAGGGTTTCTACTTTGTAACCCAGGCTGGCCTGGAACTTGCTATGTAGTCTAACAGGCTTCCAATTTGGGCTTTTCCTGCCTCTGTCTCTGGGAGTGCAGGCATGGGCCACTACACTCCTCTGGAATCTGCCTCTCAGCCTCCAGGACTACAGGAGTGTGCTGCCTCAGTGCTCTTAAAAGCATCATTGCTTTCATGGAAATTGCCAGAGTTTGCTTAGAGAATGTCAGCCCATTTTTTTGTGTCACATAAAAAAATTTTTTTAGTCGATGTTTAAGAACATTGTTTCCAGAGATGCAGACTGACATACTGCTATTAAGAATGTGTGGATTTGGTTTAAGGAAATGGAAATGCTAATTGATTTAATTTTGTCATTACACGTTGTAAACATGTATTGAATTATCACCCTGTACTGCATTTAATTAAAAAAAAACATGACAACTTTGGGTTCTCATGAAATTGTTGCAGGTGAGGAGGCAAGTCTCTAGTAACAAACTCTCCCTGAGGAATCATTTTCAAAAGCAGCTGATCTATAAAACTTAGCCTCATCCATGGATTTCAGTTCCTGAAAAGTATTGTATTAACCAGATATGTATATAATACATGCTACTTATTTTCATAAAGGTTCAGAGGTCCAAAGAAATAACATTCTGTGGATAGCCATGGCGGGGACTCATCAGATATGGGCACTTTTCCTGGACTCTGGCACACTGCCAAAGAAAAGGTAAGTGGCTGTGTGGGACAACCGTCCTCCTTGGAGTCCCCAGCCTCCCTGCGCAGGCCACCATGCTCACAGCACATGCTGGACCTTTCAGAGTGCGCTCAGCCTCATGGTACAACAGAAGCTTGGAACAGGCTTCTTGCTCTCTTATGTGGATTCACTGGGGAACACTGGTCTGCTCCCCAGGCTAAGGAAGCAGCTGCTGTCAGGAGCTCTGCCAGCCCTTCTGGCAGAGATAGAGAGGAGGAGGTGGTGAGTCACTAACTGGCTCTCAAAGCCGCTGCTCAGAAATGACATACGTCACTTGGACTTGTATTTCATCAGCCTTGGTTAAGTCTGTGGCTGTGTCTAATCTCTAAGAGCCTGGGAGGAGCCATTCTTCTGAGTGCCTAGAGAGAGAACCAGAAATGTTAGGTGGGGCTTTAATCCTTCACCATACAAACATAGCACATTTGTCTGCAGTCACCCCTTCAGGTGACTGAGTGGCTACCAGTCCCAGCTCTCCTTACTGTGGGAGCACAGGAGAGTGAGCGAGCCCCTTTACCTCTGTCATTTCCCATCATTGTATGCGTTTGTGTCACCTACAGGATTGGTGTGTGAAGAGTTAGGATAGCACTGGCACATACAGGAAGTGTAGGTCCATACAGTGTTGGGCATGTGAGGATAGGAGCAGTACTTCTCCACACAGTGTCTGCTGACTCTCCCTCCTCCCTCGGCCTCAGGCAGGGCTGGTGCACTCCTCTCTGCTCCGCTCCGCTCTGCTCTTCTCTGTCTCTTGGTTCATTCTTGATTATAACTATTTCTTCCTACTAGATTACCTCTTAAAGAAAAGAGCCTGGTTCCATTTCCATCTGGGTACTCTGTGCCTGGTACTGTGCCTGGTAGATAACAGTTCAGTAAAAGCCTGTATGTAGAATAAGCACATGACAGGAAGTCTGTCCTGTGCCTGCAGAAGGACAGAGCTGCTCATTGGCTTGCCCGTTTGCTCTCTCATATAAACAGGACCACTTGTCCAGGGTGGCACCGCTCACAGTGGGCTGGGCCCTTTCATGTCAATCATCAGTGACCACAAGTTTGTCCACAAATCAATCTGATGGAGGCATTCTCTGTTAAAGTTTCATCTTCTCAAATGACTCCAGTTCGTGTCAAGTTGACAAAAAAATTGACCAGGACCCAATCACAGACCATAAAGTTGTTATGTACTCATAGGAAGTAGGTACAAGCTATCACAATTATCTTTCATTTGTTTGCTTTTAATTTTTTATGCAGCGTCTCTCTGTGTAGCCCTGGCTATCCTAGAACTCACTCTGTACTCTAGGCAGATCCCCCTGCCTCTCCCTCCTGAGTGCTAGGATTAAAGGTGTACACCGCTACCGCCTAGTCCAGTACAGTTCTCCTTATTTGTAGAAGGGGACAGCTGTCTAGCAAGTCCAAGACCTCAGGCGTCCAGCACGGGTGTGTAACACAGCTGTGTGGTGGTTAGGACAGTCGTGCATCTGAAACAGCAGTTCTCAACTTGTGGGTTATGATCTGTTTGAGACCAAATGACTCACAGGGTCCACCTAAGACCATCAGAAAACATAGATATTTACATTTTGATTTACCTTAGTAAAAAATTATAGTTATAAAATAACAACAAAATTAGTTTATGGTTGGGAGTCACCATAACATGAAGAACTGTATGAAGGGGTCACAGCATGAGGGAGGTTGAGAACCACCGATCTAATAAAATGTTTGTTAAGTATACTTTTACTCGGCACTGTGTTAGACAGTAAGGATGAAATTAGATGATTTTTTGTGTTAAAAAGAAAGTGAAGACATGCCCATCCTCAGAAGAATCAGATCAGCAAACAGTGAGGATGGAGAGCTTGTGTGTCAGCAGAGTCTCTGCCCTCCTTCATGCTGCGCTCTTTATCAAGGGATTGGGAGTGTCACGGAAGGAGGGCTTCTGTAGTGGAGGAGGTCTTGCGAGCAGAGCTGACGCTAGTGGTAACATCAGGTCTTGCCACACCTTGAGTCCGTTTAAGAGATTTGGACATTCCAAATGCTGTTATAGAAAGTTTTAGTCTGGGAGTGAACTGATTTGATGTGTTCTTTAAAGAATACTTCCAGCGCTCAGCGTGGAGCAAGACGATTCAGGAGGCTCTAGCTGTCATCCAGGCAAGAGGCAATAGTGACGTGAGCAGTCAGGTTACCAGTGATACGTGAGGTATGATTACAGCAGCGGCCACAAGCAACAGCAGCTAGGATGGGCCGGCAGAGCTGCCTTCGTCTCCTTGTCAGGGGGTCATTGATACTATAGTAGGAAAATGGTTGTTCACGTTCCATCGATCTGCATCTTAACTTTGTGGGTGCATTCCTACAAAGATAGTGTCTAATGCAGGTTTGCAGGCAGTGCTGCCCCCTGATGTTTAGTGTCAGCTCAGCCTCCACCTCTCTTTATTGCGGGAGCCCTCTCTAACGTGTTTAGACCTCTTCCCTTGCAGTGTAAGTGTTGTACATACTTCTCTGGCCAGGAACTTTGTGTGAGTTCCTTGAAAAAGTAGCCATGTTTTACTCATCCTGTATCCTTGCCTTCACCCTGCTTTGTGCCACTCTAGCATTGGGAAGGTACCAGTCCAGAGTGCTGGTGGCATTGGCCCTCTGTGTGGCATGCCATTGGGAGACGATTGGACACACAGCCTCTCTTTCCCCCTTTCTCACAGTGCCTTGTCTTCCTTATAATCATTTGCGTAAATTTAGAAATCAAGGTGTCAACTTCTCTGTGTTACAAAAGGAATTAGCAGGGGTCCTTTTCAGCATCTTTGGACAGAGCTCTCTGCAGTTGCAGCTGCCCTGAACCGGTTGTGTGCCTTCATGCCCTGTGCTGCACTACTTCAGAGAAATGTTTCCTAGTATATGTAAAAGATGGGTTTGTATAATTGGTCATTTAATGCAGTCATCACATCATTTTCTTAAAATGTTCATGCTGAGAGACCTGGCTTCCTTCAGTCTGTTCTCTGTTTTATAGAAGACACAGACATTTTAAACGACCAAAACTAGATAATCTCTTTATTAGTAGTTCTCTTCTAGAACTTGATATTGAATGAAACTAAGAAGTTAAAAGGAGAATAAAATCATCCTAGTATCTCATATCTGACCACTATTGTTTTAACGTCAGCGATTTCTTACCTGCTATTAGAAAGTGATTTCAGTAGTTATTACACTAAATTGAAGAGAGGCCACCCTACATAGTAGCTCACCTAGAGAATGCATGGACGGCCGCAGCAGCGGACAGGCAGGACAGACACAGCAGTGGACAGGCACGACAGACAGCCGCAGCAGTGGACAGGCACGACAGACACAGCAGTGGACAGGCAGGACAGACAGCTGCAGTGAACAGACAGGACAGACAAAGCAGTGGACAGGCAGTCCATCAGTGGTTCTGTGACTCTGTTTAACTGCTCTTGCTGCTGAGATGGTTATCTATGCTCCTTTAGTAGCTCGTGAACCCACCTTTGAACTTGTGTTTCAGTGACCTAAAAAAAGGAACCTGCCTTCGTTTTGCTGGAAGTGGAAATGAAGAAAACCGAAACAACGCATATCCTCACAAGGCAGGCTTTGCCCAGCCGTCAGGCCTCGCTCTCGCCTCAGAAGAGCCCTGGAACTGCCTTTTTGTGGCCGACAGCGAGAGCAGCACCGTGAGGACCGTCTCGCTGAAAGATGGAGCCGTGAAGCACCTTGTAGGCGGAGAGCGAGACCCCATGGTAAAGAAGCTGCTGTGTCTGTGTGCACATCCCTGAGTGAGCCATCCATGGAGTTTAGGGTTCATTCCTGGCCTGTCTATGATAACATGCAGTCAAAGCACAGAACATGGCTATAAAGAAACACAAGTACACAAGTAAAGCCCTCCCTCTGAGAGAGGGCGCCCCACCTGACTACACATAGCGTTCAGGGGAAGGGAAGAGGAGGGATTGCACTGGGTCTGTGGCAGTGGATTAGGAGGAGCACTGCACTAGCAGACGTGAGCCTGCTGTGAGCGAGACAGCATGGCGGCAGTGCAGAGTGCAGACTGTACCTCCTGTGCGCTCCAGTCTGTCACACGCCAGCACTGCCATGCAGAGGCAGGGCTCCCCAGCTCTAGAAACACCAGGATCTTAGTTTTCACATTACCTCCTAACAATGCACTGAAAAATTTAATAACTGCTGTTTCTTTCTCTTTAAAAAACAATAAAAGAATTTATTTGCTTTTGGTGATGTTGATGGAGTAGGCATCAGTGCGAAGCTTCAGCATCCACTTGGGGTCGCCTGGGACGAGGAGCGGCGTCTGCTCTATGTGGCGGACTCCTATAACCACAAGGTGAGTCTGCCTGAAGACCCACGCACGGCCTCCGACCATGCCACCCAGATACAGAAAGTAGCTACAGCCCCAGTGCTGCAGCCTCAGTGCTACAGCCTCAGTGCTGCAGCCCCAGTGCTGTAACCTCAGTGCTACAGCCTCAGTGCTACAGCCCCAGTGCTACAGCCTCAGTGCTACAGCCCCAGTGCTACAGCCTCAGTGCTACAGCCCCAGTGCTGCAGCCTCAGTGCTACAGCCTGAGTGCTGCAGCCTCAGTGCTGCACAGCTTCTTCTGGGCTGTTCTTCCTACTAGAGCCTTACCATATCTGAACTGAGGGAAATGCTAAGCTAATTCCAGGGTCTGTGACCTAAATGTACGAATTGTGACCCATCAAAGGTGCTCAGGTAACGAAGGCAGGAAATAAGGAGACATGTTAGGGGGAAGTGTGAACCAACAGTTGGAGTTTCATTTTGTCACTGTGATAAAACTGACCAAAAGCAGCTTAAGGGGAGGAAGGATTTCCTTGGCTCACAATTCAAGCATAAGTCCTTCATTGAGGGAAGGCAGGGCAGAAAATTGAAGACAGACCTGCTTGCTGGCTTGCTCATAGCCCAGGCTTAGCTAGCTTTCTTATGTCACTAGGACCATCTGCCTAGGGATTGGTGCTACCCACAGTGGGCGAGCCTCCCCAGATTAACTAACAAGACAATCCCTCACAGATATGCCCACTGGCAGTCTGGTCTGGGCAGTCCTCTCTTTTCTATTAACTTCAGATTGTGTCAGGTTGAAAGTTGAAAGCTACCTAGGACTACCAGATGAAGAGTCTGAGCTGTTGGAGTTATAGTGACAGTGAACAAATCAGTCCATCTTCAGCACAGTCACCATGTCTGTCTGTCTGTTTCCATTCTGACTGTACAGCTCTGTGCACTCTGATGAGAAACCATAAGCTCAGTGTACTTGAGACACAGCCAACAGGCCTTACGTTTAACAGGAGACACAGTCCTTAGACAGTGCTCTCAAGAAGTCAGCCTAACTGGAAGTGGGTTCCACAATGGGAAAAAGCTATTTTTAGTTCCAGAAACAAGCAAACAAACAATGGGAATTTACAACAAAACACGGTATAACTAGGATTTTATAATCTGAATGAAGTTTCTGATGAAATCTCTTTCCTTCGATGATGTCAATGAATTGAATACTGGGATTTTTAGGAAAATCTGGAACTAGCTACTGTTCTGAGACTTACGTATTGAGAATACGAATGGCAGTTGGGAGTCCTCGATTCCCTGGTACTGCTATAAACAGAAATGACTGCAGGGGAAATGTCTGTTCTTTTTTCTTTAGATTAAAGTTGTGGATCCAAAAACAAAAGGCTGTAAAACGCTGGCGGGGACTGGAGATGCCAAAGACACCAGTTCTAGTTTTGCGGAGTCAGCCTTTAATGAGCCCGGAGGCCTCTGTATCGGTGAGGGTGGCCAACTGTTGTATGTAGCAGACACTAATAATCACCAAATTAAAGTAATGGATTTAGAAGCAAGAACAGTTTCTGTGGTAAGTTATCTGAAGACATAACTTAGAGGATACGGGCTTACGAATGGTGCTGAGACTTGATACAGTTCTGTTTTGTCTGTCTCTCTGTGTGCTTGGCAAATGGAGAAAGGGAGTCGGAAGTGGTACCCCTGTTGTGTTCTGGCATAACTAGACCAGAAGGCTTGCTTTGAGGATCTCCTGTTAGTCTTAAAATATAAGTTCCATCTGTTTTGAGCACTTGAGGAAAGTGCTGGAATTTGGAGAGAATGAGATAAACCTTTAATAAAAACAAGAGACCTCAGGTCTGTTTTTAAATATGTAGAAGTCATGATACACACATATCATGTGTGCCATGTGGACTGGTTGTTTATTCGGTGATCCTTAGATTGTTGCCTACTGTCTGCTTCCTGTGGTGAATCCAGTACCAAATTGTCTTCAGAAGTCCCAGCTCCCCAAACTCTGAAAATAAGACAGACTGGGGAAAACTTGGCCAAGTTCAAAACAGTTTTCAAAAAGAGAGTCTGTTGCCCACTGCCTTTAAATGTATCTACCTGGTTTTGTGTGTGTGTGTGTGTGCGCACGTGTGTGTGTGTGTGTGTGTGTGTGTGTATGGGGTGGGGGAGGCATGGGGATGGCTTTTTTTTCCTAAGTAGTGTTTGCAAGGTAATTATTTTAAAATAAAATCCATAGAATAGCATCAAAAAATGTCATCTATTGCATAGATTTCTCTTGGCAGTGGAAGTTATGACCCTATATCATAACCACTGTCCTTAAATTCAGAGTTGCTTTGATTTCCTGCCATTTACAAACCACGGGACAGTTAGTTTAGTCCTGTGTCCTTGGGGTCTGAGTGCTGAAGCAGGCTGTTTGTCTGTACATGGAGAAATAATCTTTAGACTAAAATGGCAGCTGATGTCACTGATTGAGAACTTCTTTTTTCTGTCAGATCTAAGCTTTTGGTCCTAAAAGTGCTTCTGCTTTGATACCCTGTGCTCTGTTCTTGTAGCTCCCAGTCTTCAAGTCTGACAGTGCTGTGGTAGACGGCTCCTTCCCTAGAGAGAAACAGAAGCCAGTGCCCACGGTGCCGAGGTCTGCTCCGAGCATTAGCCTCCCCCCTGTGACGGTGCATCCTGGCCAGGCTCTGCAGCTCAAGCTCAAGCTGGAGCTTCCATCAGGGGCAAAGCTGACCGAAGGCGCACCTAGCTGCTGGTTCCTGAGAGCTGAAGGTATGAGCACAGTGCTGCAGACAGAATCGTAAACGGCTTGGCTTCAATCTGGTGGTTTCTGTTCACTATGTATTTTACTGTATGTTTGGGCAAGATGTGAGGGAAATGGTGTGAGAACACATGACTCCAGCTCTGATCCACAGTGACTTGTTCACTGTTCCCTCTTCCCTTCCCTTCCACGGCTGTGGCCTGTGGTGAGAGCCTCAGATGCTCTGAGCAGCCTGGCCTGTGGCAAGGAGGCTTGCTTGGATGTGCACCTCATTCCATCTTCTTCACGTCATCCCCAAAAGAGCCACCGAAAGTTAAAGCCTCATCTGTGATCCCAGCACTCAGGAGACTGAGCTAGGAGGACCACAAGTTTGAGGCTAGCCTGAGCTACATAGTGTTTACCCAGCCATCTGGGTTACAGAGTGAAAGCCTGCCCAGAAAAACTCAAAAAAAAAAAAAAATTAAAGGTCTGATGAGGAGAAACAGTGGAGCTTCCTTATTTAATATCTTTTTCTGTAACTCTTCCTTCTTGGCTCCTGTGTGTCCAAATCCTCCTCTCACTGTGAACAGGAAGGATCAGGATTGTGCTTGCTGCTGTCAGTGCTGTCAGACCTGAGCTGCTGTGCCACAGTGGGAAGGGAGCAAGTCTGAAGCGAAGTGCTGGGGTCGAGAACTCTCCAAGCAGGACTTAGTGTCTCAGATGAGCGTCCTCTGTCCTGTCTCCCACGCTCTTTCACACGCTGTCACTCAATCTTCCGTTTCCTCAGTTCCTTCTCTCCCACACCCTCTCACACGCTTTTTTTTTTTTTTTTTTTTTTTTATACATTACCCAATCTTGGCTTCAGCCCTGCTTACCTACATACATTCTCAGGACAGAAGCTGTTGGTCTGCAGCTGTCAGAGTGCCGTCCAGACCAAGGAGACCCTGCAGGTGGATTGCTGGTTAAGTTTGAACTGGTTCTGAAGAGACACCCTGAGCCTGTGCAAACCCGGGCTCCAGGAGGTCCTAGAAAGAGCTTAGCTATTCTGCTTGTGTCTATACATATGAAAGGAGCCCCTTAGTTGAAGACCACATATTTAATTTCTCTGTGTGTAATTACAGACCAGTATAATGGATACTAAATAAGATATTGACAACCTTTTTTTTTTTCTTTTTGGATTTTCGAGACAGGTTTTCTCTGTGTAGCCCTGGCTGTCCTGAAACTCACTCTGTAGACCAGGCTGGCCTCGAACTCAGAAATCCGCCTGCCTCTGCCTCCCAAGTGCTGGGATTAAAGGCGTGCGCCACCACTGCCCAGCTTGACAACCATTTTAATTCTGCATTCTTAACACCCAGATTGAGTGCTGAGTCCTTGCCCTGAAAAGTACAGAGGAATTAAGATGAAGGGTCACTCTCTGTCCAAAATATTGGCTGTTTTTACCATACAGGGCAAATGAGCTTTTAGGCAGGAGTCATAGTAACTCAAAGATTCTAAAAGCATTACGGAGCCCATGTCTGCACTTGGACAGAAGACCTCTCTTTGGGGCTAATGTTTTAGAAATAGTTAAAGTGGTTACAGTGTGTGACTGTTTTAAAGAACCACTTCGTAAGTCATACATGTGACATACATGACAAACATAAATGAAAGAGTTGATGAATAGCACTTTATTGTTGTTTTTGCCTGGATTTAGACATCACTGCAGAGCGTTGCATAGACATTTGTGTTCTCTGAAGTTCATTCTGTAGTTTTTAGGTCATATCCCTGTAGGTCATTTTCCCTCTGGTGAGAAATGATCTACTGTCTCACAGGTCCTGCGCTGATTTAGTCAGCAATAGCCCTTCTTAGTGCTGGATGTGTGGTGCCCTAAAAAGCCACGGTTGTGATGCTTAGCTTCATTTCAGTAGACGTCACAGGGGGCGGGGGCTGCACTGATGGGATCAGAGGTCCGCCTGGGATGCTCTCCTCTCACAGGTCACTGTCAGAGCAGGGTGTGCGCTCACAGGCTTGCCCCGGACACTTGCTGACGCAGAGGCTCTTTATTTAGAATTTTCTAGTTTCCTACTTATATTTTTTTCAAAAATATGTGTGTATATTATGCGTGTACATGTGTCCACATGTGAATAGATGTACATGCACATGTTTGTGCATGCATGTCGTTAATGTCATGTGTCTTCTTTGATCTTTCTCCACCTAAACTACAGAGAAATGATGTCTCAGTAACCCTGAGCTCACTGCTCCAAGTACTTTGACAGTTGTTGTGGGGATGCCCTGTCCCAACCCCTGTGCTCTGGGATTGCAGATGGATGCCACATGCACCCAGCATTTACTGAATTCTGTCCCTCACACACTTGTGTGACAAGCACTTTGCCCATTGCCATCCCCCAGCCTCTTTTATTTTTGTGTAGTCTTAATAATATTCTCTCCTGTTTTCTAGGCAATGAATGGCTTCTTCAAGAACAAGTCCCATCTGGAGACATAGAGAATATTTCCAATCAACCGGCCATCTCCCTGCAGATTCCTACCGATTGCTTGTCACTGGAGGCTGTGGTGTCTGTCGTCGTGCTTCTTTATTACTGCAGTGCAGACAGCAGTGCGTGCATGATGAAGGGAGTGGTATTTAGGCAGCCTTTGCAGATAGCCAGCACCCAGCCAGCTTGTGCAGCTCCTGTAGAGCTCACACATGTGTTCTAGAAAGCCAGCCAGCCCTCAGCACAGGCCCTGTCCATCCTGCCGTTCGCTCAGTTGTAACAACTGATACCAAAATAAAGCTGTGCTCCTTATTAATATTTTAATTCTAAACAAATGTCTTCATTTTAGCTGTGCTGGCCGAGTCATTGACCATCATTAAAACACAGCACTGTAAGCTTGGCTGTTATTGACACAAGGTGACAGTCCATGTTCTATCAGAGAATATTATATATGTAGTCGAAACTAATCATGCCAGATAGTTTAAACAACTTCTTCTGCCTTTATCAGTGGCAGTCAGCCATTCCATGTGTAAATTTCCAGTAACTGTAGACAGGCCTAAGCTGGGCACCTTTGTATCAGGACACCTGCCAGTTAGTGTCTGAGGTCTGCTTAAAACCAGAACAAAACGTTGTCATTCAGTAGAAGCTTAGCGAGACTAGGAATAGTTATCGCCTGTGATTTTTCTCACTTGAGATATTTTTAAAAGAGAGTTTTAATCTATTTTTATTATAAATTATTTGTTTTAATGTTCCATTATTAATGCCTTATAACTTTATATAAAAAAGAAAAGTATATAGACTTTCTAAGGGCATGCAGCTATTTTTTAATGAGCATATTCCTAGCAGGCAATGTCGAGATCCCCAGAGACATGCTGACTTTTGGGGTTGGCCGGAGCCTCTGCTGCTTTACTGTGTGTGATAGTTTATTGTAATGGCTGGGCTTGATGTCAGTCAGCACTGTGTTAGTTTGGAAATCCACATTTCAGTTTTAAGAGTTAAGTAACAGAATTGTTGGGTTTGAGATTTTTGTTACTATTTTGGTTCCCATATTTAGAATTTAAATTATGATCATTAATTCTGATATTTTGAAAAATCACATGTAAACCTTTAATTTGCTATTCTCAGTGTAAAATATTTTAATGTAATTGACAGGTATAGTTATACTATTATACTCCCATTTAAAATATTAGGGCTGACACACACAGTGATTTACTGATACTGTTTTGGTATTTGTTTTCTTTAAGCCCAAGAAACAGCACTGGAAGGGATTTTGGAGAGGTTTGGTTTTCACTGTTACTTTAAGTATCATAGGTTATTATCATAACTGTTTAAGAGCCTTGATTTTCTAAAGCTGAGTCAACATATTTTTTACTAAGATTATAAGATTTCAGAAGCATTATTTGAGCCCTGCCTATAAATTCAATGAGTATCTATCTGTAAACGCTGCCTCCCTTCCCTCCACAGAAGTACTAGATTTGAAGTGCAGTCATTTAAGCATAGTCTTCCCTATTTACTGATTGATTTTTGAAGTAGTTCTTTGATAGATAACATTTGCTTGTTTTATTGTTCAGTTAGTTAAAAAAAAAATCTGAAGTAAAAACTTCATGACTTCAATTAGTAACTTGCAAAAGCTCTTTCTCAGGAGCAGTGTGAACGTAAAAGGGAAGGGATCTTGTTTAGAGTTACACGTGGTTACCTCAGAAGCCTTTGCCTCTAGAACCAACCAGAGCAGAGGTTCTGCCGCTCCAGTGTGACGGTCTGTGGTGAGGGCGGGGAGAGCGTTCCGGCCCTGTGGATGGGTTGGATTCTGCATTTCCAGTTGGACAGGATGAGAATATTTTGGCTCAGTCATTTCCTGTTTGAGGACATAAACAGTTTTACTCTGTAAAACAGGGTTTATACAGTTTAACTTGTGCGGTAATTACTTTTCACTCTGAGAACACAAGCATGGGTTCTGTAGTTGGAATCCCTTGGTCCCCTTTGCCTGGGTAGGCTATTCCTTGAGTCTTGAGGGACTGAGAGGATCTCGAAGCTGCACAGGGGCTGTACCCCCCCACCCCACCCCGTCCCTCCTCTCCACACTGCTGCTCACATTAGAGTGTTAGTGCTGAAGGACGCAGAAAACCCCAAGTGAGCCGAGTACATGGTTTTCTAGGATCAGGAGTGACACAGAGTCTGACAGGGAGAAACATTGCAGAATTTAGTTGTAACACTTCTGGAGTTGCAGTGCCTTGTGTTTTCTTTGAGAGCTTTTTAGTTGTTCTGTGACCTGCCTGCCTTGGGGCTCACACACTAAGAGAAGTTATTGGACCTGTTGTTTGCAGTGTTGGACATTTGGGGGACACAATGCAAACATGTAACTATAGTTTTCCACATACAGGGTTGGCTGTGTCTAGCCATTGAAAAGTCTCCAGCTTAGATCTTGCCTTTGGAATGGTGGTGCTTAAGACCAGTCACCAGAGATTAGAGGTGTTAACTCATTTGGAAGGTGTTTCTTTGGCATGTGCAGAGGCCCTGGGTTCAATCCTCGGGGGTGGGTGGGGGGAATTAAATCATGGAAAGCTAAGTTTTGTAGTGAGCAGTGACATAAAGCCACATGCAGGGACCGTGTCACTGGAGCTCACGCTCTCACTGAAGTTCTGCCTCTGTGGTCTCCGTGGTCAGTACTGTAGAGGGTAATCTAAGCTTCTCCGAGGTACAAGATAATCTGAATTGTAAGCTTTTCTAAAGCCATGTCTAGTACCAAAGATGGCGGTCTGCTTTACAGTCCTTTCATTTACCAGTTTCCTTTAAAGTTCAGGTTGGTGAGGACAGGGATAATTATGCTATTTTCTTGTTTAGCACAGTCTACTGGCAGGAGTATAGACTCTAGCTGAGTCCAGCCCTGTAACGCCAGGCTGCTGTACCAAGCCCGGGCTTGCTGCCAGGCTTCAGTGAAGTGCTCACCCGGCATTTAGCATGGAGTAATTTATGAACTGCCACTTATCAGTTTAGTTACTAATAATGACAATAATTTATGGCCACAGACATGGGCTTGACATTTTCTTCACAATTCCAGTTTCTAAAGCAAAATATTTCTCCACCATTTGACATGTTGGTAGTCCCAGTACAATCTGGGCTGAAGAAGAAAAAGAACACTTTATGGTAGAATGTATTACTGTTTCATAAAAAATATTGTTTCTAAAGAAGCACCTCTCTACTATATTGAATTATTTGAAAAGTCCTTCTGGAACTTTAATGAATACATTTTTTTTCATAGAGGATCCAGACTTAGCTGGAGACACAATACACTCTTAACATCTTGTAAGAATCTTCAGATTATAACCTACGTACCCTAGGGTGGTGCTCCCACCCTGGGGTGGTGCTCCCTGCAACCTTCAGAGTACTTGAGAATAATATTACAGACTAGGTAGGTGTGCATGTTCCAGAAAAGGAAGCTGCTTTGGCATGTTGGTAGCCTGTCTGGAGGTCAGGAAGCTCCTCGGATAGTGCAGCGCCTAGAACAGAACCTAGTATGCAGGTGCTGGGTGTCCTTGCTGACTCAAGTGTGGCCATGAGCAGCAGAGCTTGACTGAGGCTCTCCTACAGAATGGAAAGTGGTACCCACCCCGGCCTCCAGGACGAGGGGAAGGTGGGGACCCACCCCAGGCCTGCAGGGCGATGGTGGAAGGATGCTTACATTCTTTGAGTTCTTGCCACTGGCTGGTTCTTTCCAAGTACTTTGTGGGTGCTGACCACATGCAATCCTCACAACAGCCTTAGGATGGAGGATGGTCCTTTCTCCTTGAAGCCAGGCCTTGAGCAGTTACCTCAGCAATCAAGACCATGCACTGAGGAAGTGGCAGAGCCTGGACAGTCGTCTGCACCACTGCCTGCTCCATTGCCTCTCAGACTTTTGAGTTCACATATTTCATACCTTTATGGAGTAACATCAATCTAGAGGACTCCAGGAACCCTGGGAATGATTGTTTATGAAATTCATTTAGATTCATTAAAGCCCACTTCTCATAGATTCTTATCATCTGGGCCTTGGAACGGTATATATAGATAATCATTGGTTCCCAGAGAATTTTCTGGGCCCTTAATTTCAGTAACTATCCTGTTTTTTCTGGGCAGGAATATGTGTAGACATCCCAGTTAGTTCAACAGGACTGTCCGAGCAGCCCGTCATAAGATCATGGCTGGTGCAGGCCTTGAGAAGTCTGCCCATATCTGACACAATGTGTTTTGTGAAGCAAGGTGAGGTGTGGAAGAGTAAGGCCCTCTGCCTTCCTGCAGCCTTAGTGATCTGGTGCGCATGCACCCCAGTGACTCAGGAATTGTTCCCGAAATCAGCGTGGCAGTGTGAGAGAGAGAGAGTGCCGTATGGATGCCAGTGGTGGTTTTTAGAAGCATCCCAGTTCTGCATCTGTTCGTTGTGAAATAGCGAGATCGTGAAGCAGTACTGGGGTTCAGTGAGGAGCACACTGCGTGTGTCAGAAATGCCATCTGATCTTGACCAAGTGACAGAGGTCATATACCTTGAGGCAGATCTCAGTGCTAATCACGAAGATTGCTTTTTCCACCTGTGTTTCAAAGCTGATGTGAAGAATTAGCACTCACCCGAGTCACTGTTTTACCCTGGCTTAATAAAGTTTTCTTCTCTCCAGTTTCTTTGCAGTAGGGTAATAGACAGGTCATAAAAGTTAGAGACTTGGTAATCAAGCCATGTGGCATTCTGTGACTAATCAACCTTGTCTCCTGCTTGTGCCGACTTCTGTGGGCTGGTGTCACAGCTCTTGGGTGGCCGCTATGGGCACACAGACTGGGCCAGAATAGGACACAGCCCTGCCTGCAGGCTTTACTAGAATAACTTTTGCCATAGTGTGGTGCTTTGGTTTAATCATTGTCAGGGGTTAGAGTTGGAAAGCTAAAACCCTAGATGCCTGTGGAATGTGTGGCTAAGTGTAGTTACTCATTGTCTGGTGTGTCCTTTCCTCCCCTTGTACGTCCCTCCCGTGTGCCTGTGAACACTGTTCTTCACAGCCTCCTGACCCTCTTCACAGCCTCCTGACCCAAAGGAAAGAACCACAAGTACTTTCCAATACACCTCCACCGTGCCCACCTCAGCCGTGGGTTAAAAATGAGCACTGACCTACACACTGTACCAGGCGTATTCTGTGTCTGGCCTGGCTCAGAACTGGACACGAGCAGTACTGCTCATTTAAAGTGAAATCTGAAGCTGTAAGTATGGTCCTCCATACGTTGCTGAGTTTCAGATTTCCACTTGAAATAAAACAAAAGGGAGTTGAAGACCCACCCTCTGAGACACAGACAATGTAAAGAGAATTTCTATTATTTGGTACCTAGTTTCATGAGAAAATATGTTGAGATAAATAAGATAAAACAATAAATTATATCAGCGGGGGTGAAAATGCATAAGTTCCTAGCATAGCCATTGAGGTACTCAAATGGGGATGTGTTGCACTGAGTATTTTCCTAAAATTTCTTGTAACTTCTCAGTTTTCTATAGCAGGGAACAGGACCCTGTGTGACTTCAGATTGGCTTCTCTTTGAAGTAAGGCTTCCTCGCTGTATGTACACGGGCTGATGGCATAGCTTTAGGTCCCTTTGTAGGAAACACCGTTACTGCCATTAGTTACTTTATGCCTGCTATGGAGTTAAGACCTCCGTCAGTCTGTCACTCCTTCACGGTATGCTTCATAAACGATCACATTAGAGACTCTTCCCATCTGGTGTGGATAAATGATGTCACTTAGCTTGTGGCCCTAGAGGTGGTCCTCCGTGATGACATTGTGCCTAAGCAATGCAGTGAAAATCTAATGTACAAGTTCAGACACTGGTAATTCTAGACATATTTTAGTCCTGAAAGAATTTCCTTGCTATGCATGTCAAACTGTTTGTAGATGGATTAATATATTTTTATGCAATGTATTTTTACACTTATTTCTAGATCAAACTCTTCAGCGGCTTCTTCAAGTGCATTATTGGCTAAGAGCCTGACAGCTTCACTAGCCCAGGAGGCTGGAGCTGAGGATCTGGGAAGCACGAGTGTGTCTCTACTGTACTGCAAACTAGAGCTCTTCCAAAGCTTTGTACTTGTTTTTCACAAAACAGATTAAATATTTTTCTCTCCAGAGTTGTGTTTCTGTCCTGAATGTGCTCTGTGTTTTAAGCATATCACTAATTTTACTACTGGGAAACCTGTATGCCGGGCCTGGAGACATGGCTTAGTGGATTTAGCTTGGGGTTTGGGTCGGCAACACATAACAACTGAGCTTGTGTGGATGACAGGAAATTAGGATCCTCTCTTGGAGTTCTTAGTCTCATTAATCTGGGAATTTAAGAATGGATTCAAACGGAAGCATAAGGACAATTTTATTGGAGTCTAAAGAGAAACCTCAGGGCAGGCAGGCTGTGAACCCCAGCAGCTGCCTGGAGGGAGGAGGAGGAGGAGGAGGAGGAGGAGGAGGAGGAGGAGGAGGAGGAGGAGGAGGAGGAGAACAGAAAGAAAAAGCCACTGATGCGTATGGAAGGCATGAACATGGAGGGGAAGGAGCTTTAGAGAAAGCAAGGAAGCCCAAGATGTTGAGGAAAGTGTTAAGAAAAGCATCCCTAGACCAAAGAAGAAAAGGAAAACCCGTCCCTGGGTAATTCAGAGTAGCATGCAGACGCAGGCTTTTGACCTTTGTCTGGCTATGGCTCATAAGCTGCTGCAATAGGGGCAGGGATTCTGGGAAGGAAGAAGTGTAGCATCTCATTAAAGACCTAATGATTCCACCCTTCTCTTTAGCATTGCTTGAGGTAAGCCACCTTCCTGGGCCTGGAAGTCAGAGTGATTGAACCAGCCCACCTGGAATGTTAGGTCTCTACCCAGGTCCAAGAGTCTATTCCCTTAAGTAGGAATATTTTTTTAAGATTATTTATTTAATGTGTATGAATTCACTGTAGGTGTCTTCAGACACACCAGAAGAGTGCATCAGACCCAGTTACAGATGGTTGTGAACCTCCCTGTGGTTGCTGGGAATTGAACTCAGGACCTCTTGAAGATCAGCCAGTGCTTTTATTATCTGCTGAGCTATGTTTCCAGCCACTGTAAGCACATAGTTAATAATCAAGTCATTGAGTTTTAATTGCAGGTTTTTATACACTAAACTGAGAAAGAGGACTGTAGTCACAAAATGATACTGGGAAACTTGGGGGTAAGCTCTACCTCAGCAGTGTTTAAGTATTTGACAGGAATTAATGATTTAAAGAGACTCCCCAAAGGGCAGAAGATGAAGAATACTGTTAGGATGGAGAATGGAAGTCCTGAAAATTACCTAGACCCAAAGCAATAACTGGAAAGATTGATGCATATGACCATATACAAACTGCAAGCATCTGTATGGAGGGAAAGCCAAGTACTAGCCACTTTCTGGGACATTGGTAAACATCTTACCAAGGCAGCTAGCAGAAGGAAGTCTATTTGTGATTTTGGTTCCAAGGGAATAAGAGTCCATTGAAGCTAGGAGGGATACATGGTAGCCAAAGTTGAGAGCTCACACTCATTTGCAAACCGAAGGCAGAAGAGCAAACAGGAAGTAAGGCAAGACCATCAGCACCCAAAGTCTTCTGGCAGTGACACATTTCCTCTAGCAAGATTCCACCTCCCAAAGGTTATACAACCTGTTCAAAGGGCACCACCAGCTGGAGACCAAGTGCTCAAGTATCCGGGGCTACGGGGGACATTCTCATTCCAGCCACCACATCAAAGAAGTGAAAACTCAAAACATGAGAGAGGCGTAAAATTAATATCACGTAAAATGTGGAACTTCGTAATAAAAGTATACCAGTTGAAAAGTTAGCAGGGGACATCAGCATGCAATGGCTAGGGATTTGCAGAAATGAAATGATGCTCCCTCTGGAATCAAGATGTGCACATTCACTCAGCTGCTTTGTAACCTATTTATAACAAAAAGACTCATCACTTTAACCAGGTACACCAGGATACCCAGGCACAATGACTCCATTTAAACACTCAGTGTCCATTTCCACCCAAATCTGAGGGGAAGTGCTAGGGTCATGCATCCAGAGGTCTCATCAGGTACTAGCCAAGTGCAAAGAACCAGTAGATCCTCAAGCTGTCCAACCCTGTTCTATCAGCACTGAAGTCTTGACCTGCAGTCCTAGGATGTCATCTCATTGTAGTGCAGATCACAGACAAAACTGGGTTCTTTTCTTTTTGAGGCACATCTCTAGTTCTGACCTAGAACTCAATGATCCTTCTGTCTCAGCCAGAATGATACAGTAGTTCACTTGCGGAAACTGATTCAGTAGAATGTTTGTGTACATACACAAAACGATATTAGCACATAAAAAACAAAAACAAAAAACCCAACAAATATTAACGGCCTAAATATTTACCAGTAGTGAAATATTAAGTAAGCAACAGCTCATCCATTCAGAAGACTAAAACAGTTATGGTTGATACAATAACTATGTGTGCTTGTACTTACATCTTCAAACAACATGTTTCAGAATACATATAAGTATCCCAGATTTACTTTTTACAATTAAGTATGCATGCACATATGCACATTCTTAAACAGACTTTCCTTTGCAGTTATGCAAGACTATAAAATTGTGCAAGCCAGAAGTCATAGCATACACCAAAACTCTATGATGCTGGGAGACCAAGGCACAAGAACCACAAGATTAAGGCCAGCCTTGGGTAAATAATTGTTGAGGTTTTGTCTTTTACTATTTATTGTACATGTTGAGTGGTGGCCTCCAAGATCTGGAGTCTGCACTTAGTTTCTGGGAACCTACCCCTAGTTAATTCTGATTGGTAAGTAAAGATGCCAACAGCCAATAACTGGGGAGAAGAGTTATAGGCAGGGTTTAGGTTTCCTGGGCTGGAGGCCACAAAGAAGAGAGAGGGAGAGCAGCCATGGGGTAGAGAAGCTAGAAGAGTCGCCATGACCTCTGGGCCAAGAGAACATGGCCTAGAGGGTTGCCTGGTTGGAGCTAAGAGCAGCCTAGATGAAGCATAGTAAGTAACAACTTGGGTTATCGATGGGAAAGTAGATTCTAACAGCATGGAGGGTGGGCAGTTGCCTTGCTATTGTTCTGCTTAAGGCATATTTAAAAATATGAGTGTGTGTGTGTGTGTGTGTGAGTGTGTGTGAGTGTGTCTTTCATCTGTGAGTATAAATGGTCTAAGGCGGGAAGGAACCCTGCATTGGGATTTTTTTTTTAATATTTTTTTACTATAAGTGAAACCCTGCTTAAATAGTACACAAATGTCCAGGCAATCTGAACTACAAAGAACCTCCATAATCAATGGGGACTACGATTGTCCTGTGACCCTCCCTTACCAGAGCATTTCTATGCAGTGTGCTTGATGTTGCGTGAGCACCTCTCTCCAGACTCACCATTTTTGTTAGCTTCATGGGACATTGTCATTAGAAAATAAGCAACACAGCTACACTCTGTTGTCTAGGAGTGAAATGAGTCAAAGGTAGCAAACGAAATGACATCACTATTGTCTGGCCATGGGACACGTTACAGACTGGACAGTGGACAAAGGAACAGTGAAGTTTGCAACTGAAATTTGGACTGTGTTCTTAGAGACTGCTGTCGTTTATACCACAGAAGCTGTGATCATGCGTATCAGAACAGTCCAAAGCAAGGAAAACCAAAAAAGTATGCAGGCACAGCAAAGTACTGAGTATGTGCAGAGGAACTGGCCTTCAAGCCCTGAGTGTTTGTGTGGCTTTCAGCACAGAGTGAAATGGGAGGTGCCGTTTCTCACGGTCACAGGGTCCACCTGCACCCCTACAAAAAAACCAAATGTCATGGAGGTAAGATGTGAGAAACACGAGGCAAGTGCTTGTTGCAGAGTAAAGTGGTCAGTGGTTAAGGGGAAGAGTTAGCCAGACTCCCAGAGTAACAGGCAACTAACAGTACTTCCAGGCTCCTCTGAAATCTGCCCTTGCCTATGTGAAACAGCAGTAGCAGCCAGTAACACGCAGAGGCCAGCTGAGTACTTTCCAAGAGAGAAGATGCTCCTTAGAATAAACAAAGGGGTTGCTTCATGCCCATTTTCAAATCAGTTTTTAAAAAAATACTAAAAGGAGAGAAAAGTCAAACCAGGGAGCATCACTTCTCTGTTCATCAGAGCACTTTGAGGGCTTTAGCTGGAGCTTGGCAGTAATGTGCTCACCTAGTGCGTGCAGGTGTGCTCGCCTAGTGTGTGCAAGCCCTAGGTTCAATCCCAGCATCACAGAAACAAAGCATGACTCTGAAAGCATGCTTCTATTTCTATTGTGAGGGTTCTGAGTAACTTTCACTTCAGTCTTGAGAGTAGCAAGCAGATAGCATTGCTGTTGGGTGTGTGTGTGGTTACTCCCATTATAGAAGAATCTCCTGCGCTGCCAAAAGCAGAGAGGGTCCCTGAGGAAGGCCGAGCTAACCCCGCCAACACGTGAGAGGCACCCATTTCCCTAGTGTTTATGATCTGAATTTGAAAAGAGTCATCCATTGAATAATTTCTCCCTGTGTAAATTGAAATTGTTCTATATTTAACGTTTCATCTGAAACGTCATCTCAACCAAATCCCTTATTAGAATACACAAGATAAGAAGAATAAATATTTAGAGTGTAGTTTATCTCCTCATCCTGGAAATGGAAACACAATGGCTCCGTCATGTTCAGGAAGCTGACAGGGCCTCGGAATCCCAAGTACTGCCAGGGGGCTGGTTGCCATGTCCTCCTGTCTTTAAGTGACATGCCCACATCAGCCCTGCAGAAATTCAAGGAGGAAGAAGCAACTGCTTCTATCTGACCCTGAGGAAGAGCTGAGTGATGTCCTCATGGCCGAGAGCCTTTGATGCTCTTGCATCTCAGTATTACCAGCTTTCAGACACTCTCTGATGCTTTCGCTGTAGCTAGGGTTGGATGTGAACATGCATTTCTGAAATTACTTAAGGAAATCAGTAAATGTCCGTGTCAGCGTCTACTCCAATGAGTATGAATATAGGAACTGAGATTCAGCTACTGTGAGGTTTGCCCTAGAAAGATAAGCATCTATCCTGTTACTAACAGGCTGTTATAGAAACTTCTGGGAAGTACAACCAACTGTTTAACAAACCTACC